AAGTTCGCGGACGGTTCGCGACATCTCTATATATGATTAGTTTGTGGTATCGTGTATGATACATATGAATGTGGGCTGTGTATGGGGGCTGCTTGTGAAATTGTGTGTGTGTGTGTATGGATATGTCACATGGTGTGTTTGGTAGTGTGTGTGTGTGTGGGGGCTGTTTGGGGTATTGCATGTGGGAGACTGCATGTAGGATTGTGTGCATGTATGTGGATTGTTAGTGGTGTTGCGTTTGTGGGGATTGTTTGTATGTTTGTGTGTGCGCTGTTGGTATTATTTGAATGAGGGGAGGCTTATTCTGCAGGTCTGTGTATATCTAGCAGTGTGGGTGGCTTCCCTGGGTTCCAGTGGGGACCAGGCTGGCCAGGTACAGGTCAAGGGCAGGAGCTGCAACAGCAGCTGCAGGCTGCTCTACTACAGTGTGGATTCCCATTCACAAGTGCTGGGAGGAATTGATCTGAGATCACTTACTCTATGTGCTGCAATGCATAAATTGAGGATTGTCCTTCGCCACCTTTTCGTATTATCTGAAGTTTCACTGGGACTCCTGATAGGCCAGAGCCTGTTTTGCTGTAGCAGCCTTGAGTGCCGTGCAAAGACACCTTGAGTGCCGTGCATGGCACAAGTGCCGTAGGTTGCCTACCCCTGTTATAGAGTAACAAAAAAGTTGCAGTTTATTCAAAGCTGGTATAGTATATTCTGTAAAAATGAAAATCCAGCGCACTCGCTTATCTACTAAACAGTCATTTTAATGCTGAACAATTTTCAGTTTTATTAAAAACACCTAATCTAGGCAAAAAAATATAATGGGGGTTTAGTTACAGTATATGATCATACATTGCATAAGCCTGCCACAACGTCAATGTACCCCGAATGTAAGCTGGGTGTCAGGTAGTCTGAAGAAATGGCATCAGTTGCCGCAGTTAAAGTGCAGTAAAAGGTGGTGTTTAATTACTTTTAGATCACAGTGACAGATCTAAAGTGTTCTGAAATATAAATTAACAAGCCATAGTGCTCTCTGTAAAAATACAGTACTTTATTCTTGAAAGATTAAAATCACTCACATAAATCCAAAAGTAACAAGCATATAAGCTGAGATAGAGGGCTGTAGGGCAGGGAAATAAAATGGATCGATGTCAATCCTCCCTCCGGCCGACTGAGAGGAGTTGATGCACCGAGACAGGCGGTGAGATCTTTGCGTGCGTTCCACTTAATCCAAGCCTGCGTTCCACTTCAAACCCGAAGATGGGATGATCTAGCAGCAAATGCCGTAAAGCTTGCCTTATGCTTTTCGTGACTACAGTGTCAATTCATCAGAGGCGAATAGCTGGATGTATCTGCCCAGCAAACATATATAGCACTAAAATAAGCCGTATAAAGACGGCAGCTGACTGATTGACAAATAGTTCCCAAACTTTACATCAAATAATTGGTTAAGAAATCAGCAAAAAAAAAATACATCTATGACATGGCATCTTAAAATTAAACAGATCTTACAAAAGAGGGAATAGACAGAAGATTAACAGTATTGATTAAGTGAATAAAGTTTGAAATATAAAAACCATAATAACAAGGTGAATGCATGAAATACAATGTATATACAAAAGAATTATACTTTTAAATGAAGAAGTGATAAAGAAAAATACTAAAATAAAAAGGATTATAGTTACATATGGTCACAGCTTAAATTAATTTTATTTCCCTGTCCTGCAGCCCTCTGTCTCAGTTTATATGCTCGTTACTTTTGGATTTATGTGAGTGATTTTAATCTTTCAAGAATAAAGTAGTGTATTTTTACAGAGAGCACTATGGCTTGTTAATTTATCTTTCAGCGCACAGTGAAGATCAGAACACTTTAGATCTGTCACTGTGATCTAAAAGTGATTAGACACCACCTTTTACTGCACTTTAACTGTGGCAATTTACCCCAATTTTATTATAGGGGCAGCCCTTTTCCTGGATACTTCATATTCAGCATTGGTGATCTGACTTTATTTAAGAGTGTTATATATGCAATTTTATATTTGTATTACTCTTTTAGCCACAATTGGTATATTATAGGATAGCCTTATGCCTATCCCACGCATGCTTAAACTTCCTCACTGTGTTAACCTCTACCACTTCAGCTGGAAGGCTATTCCATGCATCCACTACCCTCTCAGTAAAGTAATACTTCCTCACATTATTTTTAAACCTTTGCCCCTCTAATTCTTGTTGTGGTAGTTCTCCTTCTTTTAAATATAGTCTCCTTCTTTACTGTGTTGATTCCCTTTATGTATTTAAATGTTTCTATCATATACCCCCTGTCTCGTCTTTCCTCCAAGCTATACAGGTTAAGTTCCTTTAACCTTTCCTTGTAAGTTTTATCCTGCAATCCATGAACCAGTTTAGTAGCCCTCCTCTGAACTCTCTCTAAAGTATTAATATCCTTCTGAAGATACGATCTCCAGTACTGCGTACAATACTCCAAGTGAGGTCTCACCAGTGTTCTGTACAATGGCATGAACACTTCCCTCTTTCTACTGCGAATACCTCTCCCTATACAACCAAGCATTCTACTAGCATTTCCAGATGCTCTCTTACATTGTCTTCCTACCTTTAATTTGTCTGAAATAATTACTCCTAAATCCCTTTCCTCAGATGTTAAAGTTAGTAGGGTATCAAATATTCTGTACTCTGCCCTTGGGTTTTTACGTACAAGGTGCATTATCTTGCACTTATCCACATTAAATGTCAGTCGCAACAGCTCTGACCATTTTTCAAATTTTTCTAAATCATTTTCCATTTGACTTATCCCTCCTGGAACATCAACCCTGTTGCAAATTTTAGTATCATTAGCAAAAAGACATACCTTACCATCAAGACCTTCTGCAATATCACTAATAAAAATATTAAAGAGAATGGGTCCAAGCACAGATCCCTGAGGTACCCCACTGGTAACTAGACCTTGCTTCGATTATACTCTGTTGACTACAAACCTCTGCTGCCTGTCATTTAGCCACTGCCTAACCCATTCAACAATATTGGAATCCAAACTTAAAGATTGCAGTTTATTGATGAGCGTTCTATGTGGAACAGTGTCAAAAGCCTTACTAGAATTTAGGTAAGCAATGTCTACTGCACCACCCTGATCTATTATTTTAGTTACCCAATTAAAAAAATCAATTAGATTAGTTTGGGCCTGAGAGGAACCTAGTTATAAGCAAACATTCCCACATACTCCTCCCCTGTGCTTGATAGATAATTACCTGAACACATAAACACATAATTAAATTGTCTCTCAGTTACAAAAACATACAATTTAACAAACCCCCAAAACACATGAAAACCCCACAAAAGTTCCATCCCCTTATAGCCCCGATCTGGGTGACCAACATATCCCAAAATAACCCAGATCGATTAAGCGGTTCGTGATTTTCATGGAAGTCAATTATTTGACCCACCATGCATATGGTCCTATGCTTAAAACAGTTCCAGGAAATCAGGGCTAATGGTCAGTCTCTTTCGGGAGCACCAAAGTACATACAACACTGAACGGAATCCTTAATTTACTTGTGTAGCCTGTTCCCCTTGTTCATGGGAACGTTTCCAACAAACAGTGCCTTTCTAAGTGTGGTATAACCGAATGCAGGTGATGATGGAAGTCCAGCGGTGTTAGGGAGTTTCTGTGTCCGATTTTAGTTTCATGAGATTTATGCCCAAACACCGCTGCCTGCGTTTTCCCGGGAACAAAATAGCTGCCACCTCGTGGTTGTTCATACAAAATGCGTCCACCCAGACGAACACTTAGATCACTGCGGTGGAAATTGCTACAAAGTATCAATTGGGCTTAACCAACCAAACTCTCTTATTCGTGCGGCAGTTTGGTTCCCGAACAATATAAGCCAAATTGCACAAACCAAGCTTTTTTTAGTGCATTTTGCATGGTCCATAATCCTGGGGCAGGAGGCTGGCTAGCAGGCTCCTCCAGGAGCCTGTGACGAGGTTCAGTTTGTCACACCTGTGTTGTCTACTTTAAAAAAATATGTACATGTGAGGTGTGATTCAGAGATTTATGACAGATAACAGTGTTACAATGTCACTATTGATAAATATTAAAAATATATATTTTAAAAAATCAATTTCCTACTTGTACTTATAGCCCTATAACTTACAAAAAAAAAAAAAATATTTCATTTTTCACCATATTTTTTTTTTTTTTTTTAAAGTAAATTATATGACATGATACAAATCATTGTATGTCCTGAAAAAAACAATATATCATTTGTATGGGAACATTAAATGAGAGAGAGGAAAATTACAGCTTAACACAAACACCACAAAAGTGTTAAAAACAGCCCTGGTCCTTAATGTACAAAGTGCCCAAAACAGTCCGGTCCTAATGGGTTAATTGATTTGTAAAAATATTTTTCTGCAGTTGTACTAGTTATATACAAATTATTATAAGCAAAAAAAGCGAAAAAATTTGCTGTCCTATAAATTAATATATTGTATGTATGGGTACGCCTAAAAAGAAAGTGTTTCCATGGGTGAACACAGCTGAAGTGCTAAATATGTCTTTGTCACAAATGCACACAATCTCAGAAAACCATTGGTAATGTAGAGGTTAAAAGACACATTTAGATCAGACTAGTGGGTTTTTAAAATCAATATGCCTATTTGTGTTAGACTCCTTACAGCTTATGCATGTAACATGGAAAACATAATAATGCTTACAAAAATTGCCAGATTAATTTACTGTCTCCTCTAACATGCACTGGGAGGAAAGTATATATCATTTTCCACAATCTCATTAAAACAAAAATACATCAACCAATAATACATCAACTAGTATTATTACTTGCAAAATTCTTGGGGGAAAAAAAAAAGTTCAGCAAAAAATAGTAATGGTCAACACCCATTATTTCAGCTGTAGACTTCTTAAAATAAGCTCATTAAATCATAGCATCAGGTACACAAATATTAATAATATTAACAACCAGATCTTCTTTTGCTTATGCTTGACGTCTGTGAATCAACAACCTCTTGGTTACTTTTCTTAAGGATTCTTTAACTTCCACATTTCTAAGGCTGTATATTATAGGATTTAGAGTGGGTGTAATCACTGCATAGAGTGCAGACACTATCTTGTCTTTCTCTAATGTAAGGCTAGATCTTGGTCGTATGTACGTGAATATGACTGCACCATAGTACATGGACACAATTGTAACATGAGAGGCACATGTGGAGAATGCCTTTCGTTTGCCTTCAGCAGAACGTATTTTCATTATGGTGTTAATGATGAAGACATAAGAAATGCAAATAAGAATGAAACAGCAAATTCCAAGGATGAAATCGGCAGTAAATACCAGAATCTCATTCATGTAGGTGTCAGCACATGCCAGTTTTAGCAGTGGCATTATTTCACAAAAAAAATGATTTATTTTATTATCAGCACAGTAGGGAAGCCGGAATGTAAAATAAGTATGTTCCGTGGAATTAAGGCAGCCAATAACTGAGATGGTGATTGCTACAATGATACAGACTCTCCGATTTATAATGGTTGCATACCTCAATGGGTTACCAATTGCAATATACCGATCATAAGCCATAACTGTCAGAAGTAGAAGTTCTACACCAGTAAACCATGTGAAGAAAAAAAGCTGAGCTGCACATCCATAATATGAAATTCCTTTTGCATTAGTTATATAGCTGTTAAGCATCTTTGGTATAGTAGCTGTTGTACAGCAGATATCAAGAAATGATAGAAATCCCAGGAAAAAATACATAGGTGTATTAAGGCCTGAGTCAATACTTATAAGAGTAAGAATGATTACATTACCTGCTAAGGCAACAGTATAAATTAACAAAAATGAAATAAAAAGTAAAGGTTCCAGTTCTGGCCGAGTTGTTAATCCCAAAATAATAAATTCTGACACAATGGAGACATTGTATTCCATGTTTCTATGAAAATGCTTTTGTTCTAGAAACAACAAAATGCAAAACTATAAATACCTATTTTGAAAAGATAATTCCAAAGTACATAATATAAAAGGACCTGTGAAGACAATTTATTTGATTTGGTAAAAAAGGCAGCAAATAATTACAATTTATACAAATAAATTAATAAATACCTATAAGCAAACTCCAAAGACAGCAGTTTTCATTTTCTTTTTTATTATTTGAAATAATGTAATTGTGTGTATTATTTAGTTAGATACTATTTAGTTGGCATATGTTTGAATAGAGCAGCTCTAACTTCAATAGATATGTGTTTGTCTATCAGAAAATGTTGCTGGTAAGATATGGCTATATCGGTTTTCTCTATAATTTTGTCAAACTATTATTTGTTTTCTAAATATAAGTCTTTATGAACCTTTTTAGAATTTAAATTTTGGTTCCTATTAAAAAGTGCAATTTGCAATAAAATAATAAATATTTGTAATGCCCTCTCAAAAATGCTTTTCACACCAAAATAGTTTAAAACTCTAACAAGGAACATATCATAATATACATTGCAATATATTCAAAAGTGTCACATATTTAAAAATGCACATGAAATGTTTGTTGTGTTTGTGTCACAATCAAATTAGTAATACTTTCCTAACAAAGGCCACATTGATAAGAAATCTACTAGTTGTAAAAGTGCATTTCTATATTTACATAGAAATGTACTAGTAACTGAAGACTTCAGAAGGAATTATTGATAGTTTTACAATATTTAGTAACACAAATAATTATATAAAACTGTTTGTAAAGAATAGCAGCTTTTGGTATCAGTAACATTTTATTTCTCCATGCTTTATCCTAATTGCTATTTGGATAAAATATACATTATTTATGGGTTACACATTAAATATTAAAACAACAATTTCAAATACCTATTTCCCCATGAAAAAAAACGAAAAAAACTAAGTGATAATGTACAGAATACTACAGTCCATACCAGCAAACCGTGGGAATGTAACACAACTCACATTCTTTTATATCTCAGATTCAGCAAATCCATCGCCACTGTTTTTTTTTGCCATTTGCTGTTAATTGAAACACAAGCTCCTTAAACACATTCTAAGATACTTACTAGGATTTCTAACATCACATATTTGTTATCCAGATTTCTGTGGAAGAATTAAGAACAGAATCAAGTAATTATCATTGTTATGATATTTTGCATCATATACAAAACTTGTATTAGCCGTGTGACCCCACAAAGTTGAGTATACATTTTATTTCTACTACTTGTGTAAAAGAGAATGGTTTCACAATCTTATTATAACAATAGTAATTGCTGACTACTGGGTGTGCCATTAAGTTGGATGTAAACATGACATAAGTTGGACAGGGCACATACAAGCGGTATTAAGGCAGATTTGTGGAAATATGCATATAAAGTTTGCTGTAGCGAGCCCTAAATTAAGTTAGTGCCACTCCACTTTAAGCACATTAAGCCTAGGGTAGTGAAGCCTGAATTAAGAACCCTAAAATATCTAAAGGATGTGCACAAGGACCAATGTTGTGTTGGAACAAACAACATTTCTATTTCAATAGTAATTACATTTTTTGTATCTCTCACCTTGTTAAAATCAAGCTATGGTTTATAAGGAATATCTGTATATCAATATATATATATATGTATATATACATATATATATATATATATATATATATGGACATATGTATATGGCATTTGGGACAAACTGATCCCATAAGGGATTTGGGGACTTTGAAAAAAAAATAATCATAGGGACAGAATTATGCACAAAGCCGTTTAAAAATGCAATTAGTTGTTTTATATCCCTAAACCCAAGACACCTATTGCAGATATACAATACAAAACTAGTTCTTACCTATTATTAAATGTACTAATTGGTTTAAAATTTCTTTACATGTAATAATCATACATAAATTAAAGGACCCATGCCTGAGTCACCATACTTTATGCTTTCCATGTGGCATCCATAAAGGTTACTTTGACTGCACATTTCTTAAGACAGGTTTCACATCAAGTCACACATCTTATTACTTAGTACTGCTTAAACTGGATGGATCCTTAACACTTGTGTCTGCCTAATGGTAGCCATACAGTAACTTGAACATATTGGGAGAACCTATTGACTGAGAAAGAGAATGTAGTCTAGGTGTCCAGTTAGCTTCAACAAAACATAGAGATGTTATCTGACAAATTCAATGAGATGAAAATAAGGGCTAGATCTAAATCAAAGTCTGTAAACATAACCTTTTTTTAAATCAAAATATTTACAAAGAATGACTCCAAATAGCATTTCCTATAATAGACTTGAATAACTACATGAGAATATATTCATCTGACAAATGCATACATTTGAATATTTCACTAATAAAGTGAAATAGTTCATAGGAAAAAAAAAAATGATCATACTTTTTAGTTAAGATCAAATACACATAATCACATTGATCCCCCTAATCAAAATCATCATCAAGGTCAGAGGTGGCTCTCTAATTAGACGGTTTAGGCGGCCGTCTAAGGCCTCGCGCAGACTGTGTCGGGTCCTCGGTCAGTGACTGAGGACCCGACACCAGGAGGGTGCCCGACGGCTTGCCCGGTATGCAGATCGGAAGCAATAGTCACCGAGCCACCAGGGAGCCCACTGGACCACCAGGAAGCCCACTGGACCACCAGGGAAGAAAGGGTATGTTGTCTCCCCCCTCCCCATTAGACCCCCCTCTTCTCACATTACCCCCTTCCTCAGCATCACCCCCCCTCACCACCCTCAGCATCACCCTCCTCACTATCACCTCCCCTCAGCATCACCCCCTCACCACCACCTCCCCTCACCACACTCAGCATTACCCCCACCATCACCCCTCCCTCAGTATTACCTCATCACCCTCCTCAGCACCCCTTCACCATCACTCAGCATCAACATCACCATCACCATTACCCCTTCCTCAGCATCACCCCTCATCACCCTCACCATAACCACCCCCACCATCAACCCCCTCAATCACTTTCACCCCCTCACTATCACCCCCTCATCACTCTGAGCTTCACCCATCACCATCACCCCCTCCCTCAGCATCACCCCCCCCACATCAAACCCCCTCCCTCAGCATCACCTCCCTCCCTCAACATCAACCCTGTGACAAAGTGCCCTTTGCCACTTGGTCCTGGAGAGGTCTGCTTGCTAGCTTCTTGCCCTGTGATTATGGCCCTGGGGTGTAAATGGGTAAATGGGGCTTACCGTACCAAGTACTGCACAGGCGGACCACACAGAAGTGGAAGTGTCCGGCTAATTTAACAACCAGGCTGGCGGTTAACCGCAGATTAATTGCCGACTGCTGGGTGGCCTCCGTTCGTGCAGTCGAACACGTGGTGGTTGCGCCATCTTTATTTAGTCGAACGCGGTCAGCGGTGTGTGCCGTCAAATTCATGGAACTAAAATCGGCTACAAAACGGCACGAACACCGCTGAAGTTTTACCTTCCCTGGAACTAATGCATTCCATAATTCAAACGCCGTTCAACAGTTCATTCGACAATTCGAATGGTTGTCGTTCGTCTGTTTGAACTGACTTTAACATGGGAAATAGACCGGCTGCACAGCCTGATTCTCTGGAAGTGTTTTGGGCAGGAAAGCATGCTTGAGGTCGGTCAAAAAGAACATCCAGCTAACATCTTAACCACTGGAAGGAATTGTATGATTTGTGGGTATATTTATATTTGAAGTATGCTGATTAATAGTATGTAACTTTTATGGAGATTGGATGTATATTTTTAAAGTTATAGTAAATGTGTAAAAACTATATTTTCCTGCCTGTGATAATTACATTAACCCATTGTGTACAGTAATTATATCACTGGCAGAGGGGAGGATTTTGTGGGAATGAATGGGAGTGTTTAACTGTATTATACGTGTTTGATTGGCTGTTCCACAAGACCATGTGGGCGGTACTTTGTGTGTAAAACTTGCATATAAGACAATAAACCCTCAGACTGCTGAGTTCTTGTTTTGACCCTCAACATAGAGCCTCGTCTCATGATTGGGGGGAAAAGGCATTTACACTGGGGGATTGCTATACTCTACATACTCCTCTAGCGATCATCGCTAAGCTCTTTTAAGAGCTTTTTCCAGTTTTGCTCGCTGAAGGAAGAGAGGTTCGGTCTGCAGTGCTTATGGTGTCTGGAGAAGTGCTTGGAGCCCTCGGGAAGCACTAGGCGCATTCATCAACGGAGGTACTCGGTTGGAGTACAGGAGCTCCGTTACAACCCCCTCCCTCTAACATCCGCCCCCTCCCTCTCACATCACCCCCCTCACCCTCACATCACCCCCCTCACCCTCACATCACCCACCCTCACCCTCACATCACCCACCCTCACCATCAACCCCCCTCACCATCAACCCCCCTCCCTCAACATCAACTCCCTCACACCAAGGGCCCCCTTCTGGTGCAAAGCTTTTTCCCCTGTGTTTGGTGGTGACTCCACAAGCAGCATCCCCCACATTTATTTTCAATCATACAAGTCCATACAAGTAGCCTCCAAATATGTGTTCCTGTATGTCAACGCATTGTGTTAGAATTATTTTTCTTCTTTTACCAATTGTACTGCGATGCAGAATATGTTTGTGCTATATAGATGGTTGTAATTATTGCGTGTGTGTCTGTGTGTGTGTGTGTGTAAGGAGGCTGTATGCAGTATTGCAATGGTGGGGATGCTGCTTGTGATAACTGTCCGTAGGGAGGCTGCATGTGGTTTTCCATGTGTGGGGGTGCTGCTTGTGTGCATAAAGTGAGGCTCATGGGGGATTTGAGTGTGAAGTATGTAGTATGTGGGTTGAGACAGCTGGTTGTGTTGCAGTGTGTGGTAAGGACTGTTGTATGTGTGTGAGATAGGGGCTGTAGTAGGCGTCTGCGGCATACTAGGGCTGTAGTGTGTGTTTGTATGGATAATAGAGGCTCTACTGTGTGGGGGATGTTAAGGCT